GCGAAAAAGATAAAAATGAAATGAAAGCTAATATGACATAATAAAACAAAGTTGACATAAATGAAAAGTAAGGAAGAAAACAAATAAATATAAAAAAAATGATTCGTTAAAAGAAGAATATTAAGAAAAAGGAGTCAACACGCCAACAGAGAAAGAACTGTATGAACAAAAAGGACAGAAATAAATCATAATGATAAAATAACGAATATATATATATATATATATATATATATATATATATATATATATATATAAGATATAATACGTTTAAAAAAGAAAGAATAGGAAAATAAGAAAATGAAAATTTGTTAAGAAATAAATCCGAGGATAAATGGATATTTTTCCAATCTTAAAAGCAGACTGCAAGACTGCAGACGGAAAACCGTCCAAAAGGTGACGTTAACACCCAAGTTGTGGACACTAGTTTAAACAAGTTAATATAAATAAAAGATAATTCCGCATCTCAAAAATTCGCATAAAATTTCGAATAAAAAATTCAAAATATAAATATGTAATTGAATTGCAGTAAAACTGTTACCATAAAATAAAGGACAAAATTAAATAAAATGTTTTTAATTAAATTGCTACAAAGAGAAATTCATTTTTTTATATCTACAATCTATTAGGTACAAAGAAAATATATATTTCTTATAGTAACCTTCCGTTAGTACAATGAGACTTGCTAGAGGATTAAGGACTTGAGGTTTTCATATGCCCCATTCAAAATGTTATAGATATATTAAATTTGTTCTTAATTTTCTTGTTATACGAGGCCAAGTCAAAAATTATCAGCACTTTCGCCATAACATATCTTTTGATTTGTCATACAGCCTTCTGCCTATGTGTGATTATAGTTGGGATTATTGTGGTCACGTGATCGACATTTGAGCTTGATCGCGCCCGTTTTCATGTAGATATCATTTTATTTTTCTATTAGATGTAATTTAATTTTCGGTAAGCAAATAAAGCTGCTTGTCATTTACACAAATAATATGGCCATATCCAAAGACTTCTTGTAGTTACCTGACAGAGACATTCAGCAAGCTATTGGTTAATCGTGAACATTTTCCTTACCACTTGTTAAATATTCTATTAAAAATCAGTTTATGGGATGTTCAGATATCTCACGGTGCCATCGAAATATACATAATTGAATATAAGAAATAAAAACAGAAGAAACACTATGTCATGAGTGAAAGTCTTCCATTAGAGTTTACGTGAAAAGCCTGATTTTCATTTGGAAAACCTATAAAGATAATCTTTTGTAGCAAAAAACATAATTTACACATAATTAGAGATAACAAATTAAAGCCAAATTTCTACAATTATTAGAAAACATATATCCCTAACTACACATCAATTTTCGTCTAGCTAAATGACACACACGCTTCACTCTACTTAAAACAGATTTTAATACAAACACTATATATTTTCTACAACTACGTCCGTGCGTTTCCCTTATATAGTCTATAAGAGAGAAACCAGACAGGACAGAGAGTGCAGCGAGGAGAGACAGAGACAGAGCCATCACACACACACACACACACACACACACACACACACACACACACACACACACACACACACACACACTACCCGAGAGCACGATTGATTTCCCGTCCGACCATTAGGCTGCGAAAACGACCGCATGTGAACACAGAAAGAGAACATAAACGCGACAAGCCCAAACCGATAGCCAACAAGCAGTCAGCCATTTTAAGCATACTCCTTTCTCACGTTCTCATTTCACACCTCGTATACCGAACTATCGAACGCTACTCTATACGACTTATCAGAGACATTTTGATATCTTGTAAATGAAATTAAATCTTTGGCCATTTCTTCAAATCACTAATTTATTTCTTTAATCCAACCAACTTCCACCTCGGATCACTTTTGTACCTCGGTTTACTAACATGGTCCGATTTGAACTTGTGTTCTACTAAGCTTATTGTATATCTAGAAAAATCATAAATTTACTGACGCAGATGTTGACGCATGCAAGGTAGATGACGAAAGAGATGGACGAAGGAAAAGAATGATATGGTCACTGAACGATTAATAGAATATTAGAAGATACTGTATTATGTCAAGAGAAATGGAGGTGGGACTTGAATAAGCCAAGATGGAAAAGGGTTGAACAAACAGTATAATGAAGGAAGGAAGACAAATAATGAAAGAAAAAAAAAGATATATAACGAAAGTGATGTGGACCCAAAGTTGGGACCACGGAAGGAAAACACGGTAAGAAAGATATATTAAATAAGAAGGGTTACAAAGATAGTGTAAGCGTAAGCGGAGCTTACTATGTGTTAGTGTCCAATATTGGTAGTCGTACGCGGTTGATACTACGTTATTAGAATACTCTCTCTCTTTCTTTCTTTCTTTCTTTCTTTCTCTCTCTCTCTCTCTTTCCACCTCTTCTCTTATATATATATACATGTTTCATTAAATAATTGATGTGGACTCAAAGTTGGGACCACGGAAGGAAAACACGGAACACGGATTAGAGGTAAGAAAGATATATTAAACAAAAAGGTTACAAAGATAGTGTAAGTGTAAGCGGAGCTTACTATGTTCTAGTGTCCAATATTGGTAGTCGTACGCGGCTGATACTACGGTATTAGAATACTCTCTCTTCTTCTTCTCTCTAGAGTGTTATGTCGCATACTTTATATAGTCCTGGAAGAGTCCATGTTGTAGGTATGTTACGGTCTCACAATAGAAAGAAAGAAAGAATTGAATAAAGAATGTCGAAAAATTTGTGAAGTAAATGATTTCCACTGAAAAGAGGAAGAAAAGAGAAAACAAAGTTAAAGAAAAAAAAGAAAAAAACGAAGAATGAACAAAATAATAGAAAAAAAGAGAGATAAAGGTTAAAAGAAATTTTAAATGATTATACACACACATATACGCATATACACATATACACACGCCCGCACACAGATAATGAGAGAGAGGGAGAGATTGAAAAAGAGAGATAAAGAGAGGAAAAGAGAGAGAGAAAGTCTGTGTGAGAGAGAGAAATTGAAAAAGAAAGAGAGAGAAATAGAGAAAATGGTTAAGAGAAAGATAATTGAACAATAAAGAGAGATAAATATAGGAAGAGGAGAAAGAGAGAAAGAGAGAGAATATAAAAAAAGAAAGAGTGATAAGTATAAGAAAAGAAGACATAGAGTGAGGGAGTGATTGAAAAGAAGAGGCTATATATAGAGAGAAAAATAAAGAAAGATAAATGAACAAGAAAGGAAGATCAATAAAAAAAAGAAAGAAGAGAGAAGAGGATAGATAAAGAGAATGAAATTCAAGAAATGAAAAAGAAAAAAAGAGGTAGAGAGAGGGAAAACAAGAGAAAGAGAAGGAGAGATATACATTGAAAAAGAAAGAGAAATAAAGAAAGTAAAAGAAGAGAGAAGCTGAGAGAAAAGCAAAGAGATTGACATTGAAAAAGAAAATGAGATAAAGAGATAATGATAATTGGACGAGAGAGAGAGAGAGAGAGAGAGAGAGAGAGAGACATAGGGAAGACGAGAAAGAGGGAAATAGAAAGAGAGAGACAAGTTAAAACAAAAAGTCAAATAAAGAGAGACTGAGATAGAAATTGAAGAAAAAAAAGACAGTGAGATAAAGAGAGGCGAGGGCAGGAGAAAGAAATTGAAAAGAGAGACAGAAATAGATATTGGAATTAAAAAAGAAGAGAGAACAGTGGAGGAAAAGAAAAAAGAGAAACATTGTGAAAAGAAACAGATAAGGGCAGGAGAAGTAATAAAGAGAGACGCTGGGAAAGAATTAAAGAGAAAGGGTGAAAAAGGAGAGTAAGAAGAAATCGAGAGAAAGACCATGTGGATACACATATCTTTTTATTTAGCAATATTCAGTGTGATTTCCCTGGTCGATAAGCACGAGATCAGCAAGTCTTTCACTGAAAAGGCTGTCCCAAAACTGAAAGATCTATTTATTGAGTGGCTTAAGGGGCTTATCTACGCTGACTAATGGCTAGCAAGATTATCCATTGTTAGTTGGTTCGATCCACAAGACTATTGAGTATTTGTGCTACTCCAAGCTTAATAAATATCCCCGGGTGTAGGACTATTTTTCCCACAAAATCTACAACAGAAAACAGAATAACTCCGTTGAACAGAGTAAATATTCAGCCACCAGATATTTTCCTTTCCCCTATGGGTTTGGGTTGGAAAGCTCTGAGCCGATGGCATTAAGGAATGGAGTTCATCAGAAGATTTGCCATGGAAGTAGAGAGAGGCTTGCTAATTTGCATCAGTAGGAAAGAGGCTGTCAGATGGAAAACAGGCCATCACCCACAAGGCCGCGTAAACGTTTTTGAGCTCTGTCAAGGCTGGAAAGAAAAGATTGGGTACCTCGAGCTCAAACACGGTAGCAATATTCCATTCTTGTTCTGATTTGATTTCTGATATATATCGGTGTCACCACTGCTGACACTTACTACCTACAGCCTGACACTGCTCAGATACATTGTTTGGTTTCTAAAAAGGTTTAGCATATGTCAGTGGGAGAACCTTTTTTTTCCGCATGGTGTGATCAATGATATAAAACTGCTTCGTACGCACTTTCATGTCAAACGCTATTTTGCCAGACTGCTCACTCCAAGTAGACAAGAAAATGCTTAGGAGCCGGAATCTTTAAACTCTACTGCAATACCACAAATTTTCGCCTGTAGTTTCCTAACCTAACAGAATAAAGTAAGAGGTATTACTTTTGGAGCGCTTGTGTGCATGTTTCGTCCTGGGTATGACGTTAAACTACATCTAGCAGCAAGGTCTCTGATTGGGAGATTGAAGGTTGTGAGGGTCGTGCAATCACCTTTTAACTACTGTTATTCCCAGGTTCATCTACTGCTCGGAGTGGTAGTAGCTGTTACGGTCCCAGCTATGGCCAAATAATCCCCCCCCCGGCAATAAAAAATCAACAGTACATTTTTATAATAAAATTACCAACAGAACTTTTTTGTAGTAAAATGACTAGATATACATTTTTTATAGAAAAATGACATTCAATACAGCACTAAAATTTATAAAAATACATTTTTACAGTAAAATTAGCAGCAATACATTTTTGTAGGGACATTACCAACAATTCATTTTATCATCTATCAAACTATATATAAGAAAAAGATCGTTTACCTTGGAAATATAAAATTATGTACAGAATATCTGTAGCTGAAGCCATAAGCTTACGTACAAAATATTTACATTTCGGCATTAAACATCCCATAGAGGTTGATATACTGCTAAACAAAATCATCCAACCAGCATGTTTTATTATCTTAATTCTTTCTTCTGCACAAGTTACCCGATAAAATAGAAAGTTACTGTCATTTGCTTCATTTTATTTAGTATTTCAGCTGCAGGTAAAGACATAAAAAATGTGGCAGGTCGTGAAGAGTCAATATGTAGCTAAACTAACTGGCTGAGCAACATTTACAATTCATCTCAGGGATATCAATTTCTAATCAGATGTTTGTAAAGTCGAATTTCCTGTATTGCTGATGTGTGTTGTTTTGAAGTAGGATGACATGACTACGTTTGAACAAGAGGCATTCATATTTATATACCGGTTCTCGTACGATCAGTGAAGTTAAGCAACGTCTGGCCAGGTCAATACCTAGAGGAGAGTTGCTTGAGAATATCAGATGCTGTAAGCTCGGGTCGGTGTAATGTGGAAACGACACGGAATTGGAAGTCGGAGAGCCAAGTTCTAACTCCAGTCGGGTTTGTTATATTCACTGATTCTCAAATACCCTTGGGAAAGGCATGAATCCATCTGTTCTCATCCCAGCAATGGGGTTAATTAGTAGGATCTACATCAGCAAATCATTACAATCTAAAAATATTTTCTGGCTTTAAATAACCTTCAAAGGGTTGATGATCCGTAAAAAACGCATCAGTCATGAATACACTCACATATATATCCCTTGTTAGGTTCTAATACTAGTTTAATTCGTGAAACTGGCAGTCAACATAAAGTATCGATGTTTCCCTCACTATCTATCTATCTATCTATCACTTCGCACCTAAGACGTATAAGCAGTTATCGCAGCGTTACACCAAGCTACCTCACATATACGGTCTCCCTAAAATCCACAAAGACGGTATTCCGCTCAGGCCGATTGTTAGTTACCAAGGCTCTGTGTGCCACCCTCTGAATCACTACCTTGTAGATATAATCGACCCATTGATCGTAAAGTCTCCTTCATATGTCCGTAACTCTGCCCGCTTCGTGGAAATAATCAAAGATGCTCCCATCCTATCCAACCAGAGGGTGAGCTTAAACGTGGTGAGTTTGTTCACCAAGGTACCCACGGAGGAGGCACTCTCAGTAGTCAGAGACAGATTGGCCTCTGACTCATCCCTAGAAGAACGGACCAGTATTCCAATAGATAATCTGATGGATATGTTGACTTTCTGTACACAAACAACATACTTTGGAATGGGATCACACATATATCGACAGGATGAGGGCTTAGCAATGGGCTCGCCGTTATCACCAGCAATGGCGAATATATACATGGAATACTTTGAGGCAATGGCATTAGAATCAATATCTCTAAAGCAAACTATATAGGTACATAGATGCCGCCTTCATGCTCTGGCCACACCAGGAAAATGTTCAGGTTCTACTGGACCATGTGAACTCAATAAGACCTTCCATACAGTTCACAATGAAGAAAGAGAGTAACAACGCACTCCCACTCCTGGATGTGCTAATATCTCGAACAGAGCATGGGTTTAAGACATCCGTATACCGTAAACCGACATTCACCGGACAGTATCTCAATTTCAACTCCCACCATCCATACAGCTTAAAGAAAGGGATCGTCCGTTGCTTACAACACCGATCAAAAGTCATAAGTGGCGACCCAGAGACATTAGATAAAGAATTGGTCAGTATAAGTAGTACCCTACAACGTAACAACTACTCTGAGTACATGACAGCAGCCAAAAAAAAAAAAAACTGGGATAGACGGGTGCAAGAAGAGGACAACAACAGGCAGAAAACAGTCTGCCTACCTTATGTGAAGAGGTTATCAGAGAAAATACAAAGAATCTGCAGTCCATATAACATCAGGACAACCTTCAAAAGCTTGAAAACACTTCGCAGATATCTCTCCCGAGTAAGACGCCCCCATAGAAGAGAACATGACAAAAGACTGTAATTCTCGTTGGTTAAAAGAGATCTATCCCCCCATATTAGGTAATTTGGTATTTTGTTGTGTAATTTATATGCTCTGTTATAAAAAATACATTGAGGTCTTTTTATGGAACAGTTGTAATATTTGATATTACTAGGATCCACTTGGATTATATACGAACAGACATATTACCGGTACTATATATATATATATATATATATATATATATATGTGTGTGTGTAAGTATATGCGATTCGCTGTATCAAAGCTCCTCCGTGCGACTAGACATTCGAATGCCTCAAGCCAGGTTCGTACACGACCAATTTGGTGTCAGTCAAAGTTTCTACCACTACGTCATCTTCACTCGGCAGAGAGGAAAACCTAATTCTAGCGTAATTGTTTTACGAATGTAAACGAACGCTGCACGCATGAACACACGCGCACACGCACACACACACACACAGATATATATACATAAAAGGCAGGATATGTGTGTGTGTGTGTGTGTGTGTGTGTGTGTAACGAATGCACAGCCGCAATCTTCGACGGATTTGCACCAAAATTTACATGCACATGCTCCAAGTTAGTGGGAAGGCCAAGACCGACTTTGCATTTCCCAACTCCCATCGATAGTTGAAATAATCAATTTTTTCATGCTTCTACGGCAGTTTTCATGTAGTTTGCGGCCATTTTCTACTGGCCAGAGTGAGAGCCTATAGCTGGCTGCCACGAATACGCAGGAAGATTTTATTGGCCAGCTTGAGAGCCAACAGCTGACTGGCACGAATGTTAACTAGCATGCAAAAAAAATCGATAGCTGCATTCGTCACAATTGGGAAAAATTTAAATCTGCATGGCACTTTACTCCAATTGGCTCATTCGCTTGCTTAAACTCAACGTTGATTCTGATTCCGCAGAACTGGGTTAGTGTGAAAAAAGTATTTGTTGTTAACATTCTTTTTTATTCGGTTTTTCCAGTTACAAAGTCGTTTTTAAAGCTGATCGTTTTGTGTTCATTTTGTTTAGTTCTTTTTTCGTAACAGATTTAATGTTTAGTATAGAGCTTAGAAAAAATTCGCAGTGTGAGATAGGCAAGAAGACATGTAGCAACATCATCACGGCAAAGGGCACTTCTTTAAAGGCAAGGAAGGCAAAAATATTTTAAGTCAAGTGATAGCGATTGCTGTATGAGTCATACGATTTTTATATCAAGTACGGGTAACGCCGGACCATGCTGCTAATATATATATATATATATATATATATATATTATAATATTTTTTGTTTAAATATATGATTCCTTCGCTACATAAGAGTTTTCATGTCTAATTTCGCTTGAAGATGAAACGGGACTAGACACCTCAATTCAACTTAATTATAATAATTATTTGGATGGTTTCGGCTTTCGTTTTTGAGACATGAGAATTCTTAAGTAGCGAAGGAATCATATTTTTAAACAAAAAATATTATTATGATAAAGCTCTATTTATGTATGGAGCACTGTCTCCTTAAAAATAAAAGCAAAAATACTAAGGAACTCCGGATTATGCACCCAACGTGTTCTTTTCTATTTTCTGCATACCTGCGTACTTTATATATATATATATATATATATATATATATATATATATATATATATATATATATATTGTTAGAAGCGTAAATAAAGCAATT